ATCCTGCGTCCTCGTTGTGTCGTTCAGCTCGATCTGAGATGGCCTCCTTCAATCTAGCGTTGACTTGTTCTCGGGATTGTTGATAGTGTCGTTGGACTCGATAACACCACCGCCGCGCATCTTGATCTCGTCGTCTCGTACACCCTACCGGCAGTGTAGCCTCCAGTGTCGATATCGGATCCCACCCGTGCACCAAATAGTGGGGAGTATCTCCTCGGATCCGATCATGAGCCGTGTTGATCGCGAAGGTGAGGCGCTCCGCATATTCGTCCCAATCCTTCTGATCCAGATCGCGGACGTACATCTTGAGCACTCTAGTCGCGGTTTGCACCATTCTTTCAGCAGTCCCGTTTGCCTGTGGACGATATGTCATCGTCGCCCGTTGCCGCTGTCCCAAAATCTTGTTAAACGCCCGGAAGAAATCAGACATGAAGCCGGGTTCTCGATCATGCCTGATCATCTCACTAGCGCCAAATCGCCGAAATAGTCTTCGTAGGATTCCGCAACCGTCTGGGCTGATCTAGATGAGCTAGCCTTCGCGATCACATACCCCGTGAACAGATCGACCCAGATCAATAATTCTGTGTTTCCTTTGTGGGATCTGGGCAGCGACGGTATGTGATCCATCGCAATAATCTGGAACGGGTACGTGGCCTGCAAGTTTCCAGGTGATTCACCCCGGATCACCGGTTTTCCTTTTCCTGGCTCGCAATCTACGCATTCCCCCACGTCCCACGTATCTCTGGACGCTCCGGTATAATCCCCTCCAGTGGAAGTGATCTCGGATCCGCTGGTAGGTTCTCCCCACTCCTTGATGTCCTCCCTCCAACGTGGCGTGATAATGGTGCAGGACGTCCGACTGTAGTGTTTCGGGGACTACCAGTCTCATCAATCGGTCTCGATCGTCTCCCGATCTAGGCGTTGGGGGCAGTAAAAGAGTAGATCCTGTTCGTCCACCTCGTAGTCCGCCGCGATCTTGCCATACGATCTTGCCTCCGCTTGAGTGAGATCCGCGATCGAGCCATTCAGATACTTCTTCATGCCGGCGATCCAGACTTCTTCCTCTTGCGCTTGCTTGATCCGATCGACTCGGATTTCCCGAATCCGACACTCATCCATGACACCCGCAGGTGATCTTGCTCGACCCGCTTGGGTGGTCACCGCAGCGACCCGAACCACTGGATTCTCGGTCTTGGGGATCAAGATCTCGTCTAACCGGTTCAGGGTAACCAGATCCTGGTACCCGGGGGTGTCCTGTACCTCGATCCCTCTTTGTCGTTGCAAAGCGGCGCTTGCTAGACTGTCGGCACTTCCGTTCCAGTCCCTCTTGACGTGAACCAACTCATGATTATTCCATTTCCTCAAGCGATCGAGGACCCTCCGCTTCAGTAGCGTCAGTCCGGGTGCTTTGCAGTCGATCTCACCCCGTACTTGCCTGATCACCAGGTTGGAGTCCCCGCAGATCACCAGGCGTCTGCGATCTAAACCCTCCAGCATGTCGAGCCCCAGGATCAGGCCGTTATATTCGGCTTCGTTCACGGTAAGGCTCTCGAGATAGCCCGATCTGGCCTTGACCACCTCCCATCCGGGAAGACTCCACACGATCGCACTGAACGCACCGCCTCCGCGCTTCTCGAGCGGATCCGTCAAAACTGACCACCCATAGTTCCTGATCTCGGTCTACAGTGGATATCGGCGCTTGGATCCGGCGTGTTGGTTCTTTTCGGGGGGAGATCTCGGTCAGAGCATCGTCGATCTTCGCCCTTGGCGTGATACTAGCAGCGATCGCCCCCAGTATCTCGTCTTCACCCTTCGTACACTTCGTGATCTCGAGTGTCCATGGGGCCAGGAGGACAGACCACTGTCCCAGGCGGCCCTGCAACCCCGTCGACTTGAACAGCCAGGCCAACGTAGAATGCCGGGTCAGGACACGGATCTCGCGTCCTACTAGCAAATTGTAGTAGAGATCCAGGATCCTCAGCAACGCCAACACCTACTTCTCCGTCACATTGTAGTTCAACTCGTTCGTCTTCAAGGTGCGACTGGCGAACGCGACCGGATGGTAGGTCCCGTCGTGTTCTTGCGTCAACGAAGCGGATATCGCCCAATCGCTGGCATACACGATAACCACCGGCGTTCCCGTCTCGTCGAAATGGCGGAGGACTGGGGTCGTCGCGATCTTGGTTTTCGGGGCGACGAAGGCCCTATGTGCCCTGATCCACCTCTCGTCCACTAATCCCGTCAGCTTCAATTCCGTTGGGTCATGATCTCGAGGGATCGGGTCATTCCGGTCCAAGATCTCCCTCAGATCTGATCGTTTCTCTAGTTCTGCAAACTCCACTTCATGTAATTCGTAGAGTACCGAGGCATAGATTGCATAGTCTTCGATGAATCGGCTGTAGTAATTTAGACTGCCCAGGAATGACTGCATAGATCGCAGAGACCCGGGGAACGGCAGATCGGTTAACGATTTCAAGTCTTTAGGACTTGCCTCCAAACCTCCGATCGACACTCGGTGCCCCAGATATCCCACCTTATCCATGCCGCAAAAACTCTTGGCCACACTGATCGACAAATTCCACTTATCGCAAGCCTCCAGCAAATCTTCCACTCTCCGACACATTTGATCCCATGATTCCGCTGCGATCATGATGTCGTCGATGTATGATCTCCGACCCAGCACCAACTCTCGGTCAGGATCATCCGCGATCCCGGTCTGGAACACATCCGTTGTGGCTCCAGCGTCGCCGGATCGCGAGATCTTCAAAATTCCATATAGCGCGTTGTCTACGAGGCGCTGATAAATCTGTGGGGCATTCTTAAGGCCGAAAGGCATTCGAACGGTCCAAACGGGGTGATGAATGCTGAGATCTCGCGAGCCCGATCCGTCATGGGCACGACCCAGAATCCGCTGGCCATGTCTAACGAGCAGTACCTTAGTGCTTTATCCAGATCCTCTAGTAGATCCCTGATCAGGGGCATGGGGTAGACCATCAGCTGTTTACCAGCTTGTAATCAATGCACAATCGGATATCTACACCGTTACTCTTGCGAACAATCACGATCGGTGAGGCCCATGGTGATGTCGAGGGTCGGATGATCTAGGAGGCCCTTGATCAGGCCTGCGACTTTTTCACGAAATCGCGCGGGCACTTTCCGGGTTCGCAGTACGATCGGTTTCGCATTTCCAACATCGATATCGCATACGACGCCCTTGGCCGCCGGGGGTAAGGCGTTCCCTTTGCCAATGAGAAGATGCCGTTTCTTCCAGATTATTTGCCGTAGTCTCTCGATCTCCTCGGGTGTGGCCGATCCAGTGTCCCCCACCTGCAGATCTTCGATGCTGACCTTCGCGGTCGTCGAGATCGGGATCTCGGGGAGGACGGCCAGGTTTCCTTCCAGATCTTCCGCTGAGAGATCGTGGCTGTCATGGTAATATATCTCCACCTCGTCCTCGGCATCCTGTGAGGTGGTCGGTGTGGGTCATTCTGCCGGCGGATCTCGTTGTTCGACGCCCTCGGTAGGACAGATCGGGGGTCCTGCATCAGGATCGGGTTTGATCTGGCCTTGTTCGAGTTGGATCTGGGTCTGATTTTACGTTTTCGGCTCGATATCCTTGGTGTCAGTTAGATTCTCCGTCTTGATATCTGTCCGATCGGTGGCCTGGTCCGGCAT